TGCAGGTGCATGTGGATGCAGGTAGTCAGTGGTTTTCATCAGCTTCAGCACGGCTAACACAGCCATAACATTAAACAGGGCTGTTCAATATGCAACCCAAAAATTAGAACACGTTGAATTTATTCATCACCACATACATATATACATATATACATATATATATATATATATATATTTTCTTTTTTTTTATCCTTGAACAGCTCTGCTTTGTTATGACTGCATTAGCTACGAGGGTTCTGTTTGTGGCACTGGATCAGTTCCCCACAGAAGAATGGACTGCACTAAAACCCTCACAGGTACCACAGGTGAAGATGGGGCTGGGGGTGTGTTTCCTGTCGTCTGACTGACTGACTGTCTGTCTGACTGTCTGACTGACTGTCTGGCTGTCTGTCTGTCTCTCTGACTGTCTGGCTGACTGACTGGCTGTCTGTCTGTCTGACTGACTGGCTGTCTGTCTGTCTGTCTGTCTCTCTGACTGTCTGTCTGACTGACTGACTGACTCTCTGTCGGTCTGACTGACTGTCTGTCTGACTGTCTGTCTGTCTGACTGACTGGCTGTCTGTCTGTCTGACTGACTGCCTGACTCTCTGTCTGTCTGACTGACTGACTGTCTGACTGACTGTCTGGCTGTCTGTCTGTCTGACTGACTGACTGACTCTCTGTCGGTCTGACTGACTGTCTGTCTGACTGTCTGTCTGTCTGACTGACTGCCTGACTCTCTGTCTGTCTGACTGTCTGTCTGTCTGTCTGTCTCTCTGACTGTCTGTCTGACTGCCTGTCTGTCTGACTGACTGTCTGACTGACTGACTGACTGCCTGTCTGTCTGTCTGTCTGTCTCTCTGACTGTCTGTCTGACTGACTGACTGTCTGTCTGACATTTGATTCAGTGTCTAATTCTATTTTTTTTTGTTCCCCAACAAAGACCAGCAGCAGAACAGTGTCACTGCATGAACAGAACAGATCAGTTCAGAACAGAACAGAACAGACCAGTTCAGAACAGACTAGTTCAGAACAGTTCAGAACAGAACAGAACAGACCAGTTCAGAACAGAACAGACTAGTTCAGAACAGACTAGTTCAGAACAGACTAGTTCAGAACAGACTAGTTCAGAACAGACTAGTTCAGAACAGACTAGTTCAGAACAGAACAGACCAGTTCAGAACAGAACAGAACAGAACAGAACAGAAGAGCTTTTCATTTGAGTCAACGTCAGCTGCTGAGGTTCTAACAACAGAACTGAGTGTAGAGGTCAACTGAAATACCTGATGACAGTTCTGTGGTTGGTCTGTGGTTGGTCTGTGATTGGTCTACCACTGGAAGGATCCTTCATCCTCAGTGGTTTTTTCTCTTTATGTTTATGTCCTTTAAAGTTTGACTTTGTTGTTGTCGTTCCCACATCAGTCAAATGTGTTTCTTTGTCTTATTGATGGTCAGTGTTGGCTGCACGATGGAGAACACAGTCAAAAGCTCTCCAACAAAAAGAACCCCCCCCCCCCCAACCTTTTAGAACACAGACAAATACGATGTGACATCTTGTTCTTCTTCTCACACCTTGTTGACGTTGGCTCAGTGGTTTTGTCAGATGCAGATATCAAACAGCTTCGATGAAGTTCAACATCTCCTGAGGTTTGAGTCTGTGATGCTCTGATCGTAGAAACCGCTTCACTTCAAATGTCAGTACAGAAGTCACTGCTTCAGCGTGAGTCACTTTTAAAGTGCTTCCTATAGAAGTGCAGACTGTTCCAGAGACGTCTGTCTCATATTGTCAGAGGACTGTGATCTGGACCAAAATATTTACTGTGTTAAAGAGGAGGACATTGAATCCATGAGTAGCTGCTTGACTGGAAATGTTGGCTGAATTAAAAGGAGCGTAAACACGACGGCTGCTTTTTTTTCACAGCTCAATGTCAGCCTTGAAGTTTCAAGGTCATTAAACCTGCCTCATCTCAGTGTTCAACATGTTACTGTCTTCAACACTGAGTGGTTCGTCTGAGCTCAACTGAAAACTCTCGACCTCCGTGTTTGTTATAATAATTTCATCTTTTCTCTTACGTCATATTTAAACACCATCACAGCAGCTGTGCTTCGTCTCCCTGTTAACACCACAGCATGTGCTGCTGGTTTGTGTTGGACTTTTTTTTCTCTCTTCTTCTAGAGCTTCTAAAGCCTTTTACAACGTTGTAATATCAATGACTAATGATGGTGTTTTTAGGACGGCCTTTAAGAGGCGCTCTGCAGTGAAAAACAAAACCCTCAAAGTTTACAGCTTAACAATTATGTTGGAAATCAAACTGTCCTAAAGATAAAGATATATAATACGACTAAACCCTGAGGTGAGCGTTCAAAAACACAAACAACAAGTGATCACCGTGTCTGAGTTAGTGAAGGAGAAGAAGAGCAGACGATCTCTGAGCGGTCTACACCGACGACTGAGCGGCAGTCTGCATGAAACACTGGTCCGTCCTGTCTCCTGACAGGTCGACGGTGGAGAGGGCTGTGTGTCTGTGGTTTGGTTAATGACTGAACCTCCGTCCTGCCACCATCCCACGCCCCAGCTGTTGAGTAGATGATGAATGGTCCTGATGGTGACGAGTGAAGAAGACACATTAGAATTCCAGCACATGACGACGCCTGTGTGTGAGGCTGTTGGTATCTGATGTATCTATCTCACTCAGACACACACACACTCAGACACACACGCAGGAATGAGACGCAGAGCCGTGTTGTTGGTTCAACTCCTCTGTTCACGGCTTTCTTTGGCCTCGTGGAGCTGAGGAGCTTCACGGTTTTTCTAATGAATCCTAACGGACTTAACCAACCAGACAATTAAAAAAGTTAAAGTCCTGTGTTTTGTCACTGTTTTGTTGTTGTTTTTTCATTTGTGGCAGCTGTGTTTCAGTGTGTGTCACCCAGCTCAGGTGATTGCCCCCTCCCCCCCCCCCCCCCCATCACTGTCTCTTCTCTTTATCCTCCCAGCCTCTGCTCCAACACCCTGCTGATAACCTTCCTGACAGCCCTCTTTCTTGAGTCTGGTGGAGGTGGCGCCGGCGCCATCTTTCTGTGGGCGCCATCGGTGGTGTTATCGCACCCACACACATTGGTCACACACAGCAGGCTGTAAACCTATCAGACAGAGTAAAGAAGGAGCACATCAGCAGTGAGCCTCCTTCTTCACAGGAGCGTCTTCTGTCCGTGCAGCCGTCAATCATCCACTGCCTTTTCTTTCTTCTCTCTAAAAGAGGAAGGAAAAAAAAACCTGGCCATCGTTTCACTTTGAATAAAAATGTGCTCTTTGAAAACTTGTTTCTGCTTTGAAGAAGAGGAACTGCATAATGTGACAAAAACAGTAAACAGAAAAATATAAAGTGGCATTTTACTTTCCCTTGAGCGTTTGACCGTAGTTACCAGCAACGATGTTGAGGAGGAAGAGGAGGAGGAGGAGGTTTTTCAGATTAGGATCATTTAGTTCAAAGGTGCAGCGTAAACATTGCACTCCTGCAGCCTGTTCTGAATAAACATGTCATTAACCAAGAGTTAGTGCTGGTGATCTATGGGTCAACACAGTTGATGACGTAGAGTGGGTTCATGAAAAGTCTGGGTGAACAAATGTACAGCCTTAGAAAATGGACCGTGCACCAGGCAGAACAAAGGAAAGAACAAAAGAAAGGTCAACTCTGATGTTAGAAACACAAAGGAAACCATTGACCGCGGCTCAGGTTTACTGGAGCCTAGTTTATAGACTGGTCAGTCTGGTCAGTCTGGTCACAACTGACCTGTTTGTCTGCTCTAAGGGTTGGATTTCCTTCATTATTTAATTCTAGATCCTGTAACAGAGGTCACACTGATGTCAAACCATTTAGATCAGATCAGTTATTTTTTTATTTTCCTGTGAGTCCAACAGAGAGTCCAACAGAGAGTACCGTAGTGCTGTAGTACTGTAGTACTGTAGTACTGTAGTACTGTATGTGTAGGTCACCTGGTTTTCCATCAAACCATAACCCTGGATCAGTAATTTCCACTGTGATAAATGTTATTATTCCACTGTGAAACCAAGTCAATCTAATCCTGGCTCTGCTCCTCCTCCTCCTCCTCCTCATCATCATCATCTTCATCATCATCTCCTCATCCTCACTGCATCTCTGCCAAACTGCCAGCAGTCTTCTGCTCCCCAAACAATTACATGCTAATCTACTATGTGGAATGACTTAGTCTTCATCTTTTTTAGTCACTGGAGCAGAGTCTCCTCTAGAAGCACAGAGTGGAGGAGAGTTTTTATATCTTTCAGAGTCGACCACCTTCCATCTCCATTCCCTGCTGTCGGTTCCTGTTCCCCAACTTCCCGCTGCTCGCTCCTGAGTATTGGCAGCGCGCGGCTTCTCATTCTAGCCACCTTTCCCTAAATTACCCCCCCGACACTGCAGGCAGAGCTATTTAATTGCTTGTCAGACCAAATATTCTCCAGTTTTCCCCTTCATCTTTGCAGATATTGCCTCTCATTAGCATGTCTTCTGCTGCCTCTGTGCTGTTCAATCCCACGCTGAGGTGAAGCCAGACAAGTCCATCAAATTATGTTCATCTTCCCACTGAAAATCAGTCTGTAAACCAGCCAATAAAAGGCAGCGACACACTGGTGGTTATGAATTCAGCTCCATTCTTTTCATCTTCGGCAGCTGAAGTAGCACTTACAGTGTTTGGATGAGGCAGCGTTGCTCTGAATCTAAATGTGACGTCTGCCGTCCCGGGCTCCTAACAAAGACACACAGTCATAACTTTTTCCAAATAAATGACACTGCAAACAATACATCTTATTGTAGCTGTTTAATGGACCAATTTACACCAACACAACCATCTACTAGTTTCTTTGTTTGTTTTTAATCCCTAAAAGTTTGTACCTTGACTTGAGTGGCTGTAATGCTCTGCCTGTGTGAGTCTGTCAGGGTGTACTGTTCACCGTCACAGCCTCTGTATGGTTCTGGTTCGACTCAAACTAAACTGCGGTTGTGTGTTATTTTAGCATGTGTAGCGCAGCGACATTTGGCCACAAGATCGGCCCCGTTTGTGTGTCCTTGTATTTTGGGAGTGATGGGTTGTGCAGCTTTGTGGGCACATGCTGACCACCTCAGAAAACCTCAGGAGCGTTTCCATGGTTACCGCCGTCACTGTTGTCATCCTACATCAAAGCAAAGGCACCAAACCGACACGATACATAACAGTTGTTAAGTTAAGTTGTTAAGTACGTGACGACGTTCACAGACGGCAGGAGTCACAGAACAAAGCACTTAAACAAACGTTACGACTGTGTGTTGATGTTGGCTCCATTCCTCTTCTGATTGGCTGACCAGGCATTTGAGAGCATACATCAGTGGACTTTGCTGTTATGGTCGTCATGAGTTAGCGAGTGTCAATAATGATGATAATAATGACAATGTTATACTAATACTCATGTTTATTTCACGTGTTCATAAAAATATGATTGTAAGAGATCAAACACGGACTAAAAGTCAAACGTCCAGCACCATGGACAGTGGCCTTCACTTGTCTTCTGATTTATTGACCAGTCAAAGTGGAGCTGCTTTATTATGTCAACATCAACACCACTTTTATATCTAACTTCTTCTTCAGTCCTGTTCTGTTTTTCCTTTCCTCTAGTCTACGGCGGCTGCTGCTGGTAACAGACCAGTTCTCCACCGCGGCGGTGCCACTGCCGACTTATATATATATATATTTATATATTTCTATATGTCTGTTTGACTCACTCTTTTTCACTTTCTCTTTTTCTTCCCTGTATTTTTCTCTCATCGTCTTCCTGTCCTCACCTCCATTGGTGCCTCTTGTTTCCGTCCTCTCCCCATCATCTCTCCTCTGGTGACCCGGGGCCGTGCTCGCAGTAGAGATTAAAGTGATCAAGGACCTACCGTGGCCCCCACCTGTCGGGCAACTCAACACCAGCCCTCCCCTAGTGGAGGAGCTGGAGTCTCCCTCCCAGACAGCTCAGCCCTCGCCAGGACAGACGAGCTGTGACCAGCACCACCAGGGTGGGTGTTGCTGTTCACATTCTCCAGTGTTGGTTTTTTTTTCTTTGTTTTTTTATTTCCGTCCTGTGATCGACCCTTCCACCTTCCTTCCCAGTCAGTCTGTCCACTTACTCATCTATCCATCCAAATGACCATCCATTCATCAGGTGCTGCCCCTCAGTTTGGGCATCACTCTGGTGTGACTAGTGGTTTCCCTTCAGCTCGGAGCTCACTAATGGCCGTTCGTTTCCATCTGGATTACATGTGGCAGAAAATCTCTGACTCCTGGGCAGGTATTTTAGGGCTGAAGGCTCATTAGTTTTAATTGTACTAAACTGCCTTCTGTGAGAGGTAATTGCCATTTGCTGTGACCCTCGTTTCCTCTCGTCAACACACTCATAGTCGTCCCAGATGTCTTCCTAACCACTGTTTTCTACAAGTGGCTCAAACAAGCTGCTCAGTCACACTGATTTCAGATTTCTGTTCTGAATCAAGTGCCTTCACCTCAGCTTTAGCCACGTAAACCATCTTATCATGCAGTCATTTCCTTCTGACCTTTTTGGTTGAAATTTGAAGCTGCCCCACAGACGGACTCTCAGCCTGCTGTAATTACTGAGGGAAAAGAAGAGCGTGGAGCAGAACTAATGCCAGGAATGGGATTTCCCCAAGCAGAGTGGGAAGACTTAGAGTGAGAGTCTGTAAGAGGACACTCTGAGTGAGCTGGAGGCCGGGACTTGATTTATGTCCATAAATCCATTAAAATGGTTCCGGTTCCCTTGGTGATGTGAGTTGGTTTTAGATCGGCATCCAGCTGTAAAGTGATCCTCCCTCTGTCTGCCCCCTCCCCCCCCGACCCCTCCCACCCCCACCACATCTTAAGGGTCAAAAGTCACACTGCAAGACACTTTGGGGCTGATTTTCTCTGCAACACGCTGGTTTGAGTCAGTCTTCATCAGTCTTGGTCAGTCTTCATCAGTCTTCATCAGTCTTGGTCAGTCAGTCTTCATTCAGTCTTCATCAGTCTTCATCAGTCTTGGTCAGTCTTCATCAGTCTTCATCAGTCTTGGTCAGTCTTCATCAGTCTTCATCAGTCTTCATCCAGTTGATCGTCTTCTAATGATTTGATCTTTTTAGTTTTTCGTGAAAAATGTCCTTCAAAAAGTCTTATTTTTTTAACTTTGTTATGCAATATTGAAATAAGTCTTGACAGCAGCGATATTACATCTACATATAAATAGAGTGAAATTTTCTGTCTTGATTTTAATGAAAGCTTTTCACGATTGTTTTTGACATGAATTCATTATTCACACTTGAAGCATTTCTGTTGCCGTCTCCTTCGCTTGATCAAGGAACACGACGAGGCTGGAAAAATTAACAAAAGCTTCTCTGATTATATATATATAAATATATATGTAAACAGTATATGTATATTTATATATATACAGTACATATATATATATATATATATTTATACAGTACGACATGAGCTCTGTTTTGTTGGGCCTCGTTGCCTCTGGTCACATACAGACCTGTTAATCACTCCACTAGTTCCAGCTGGAAAACTTAATTT